AACAACAGCAGGAGAAGCAGCGGCATCACGTACAGTGACTGGCGCACTGTGGCGGGTGTGCGGGCACTCAATTTGTTAACTTGCTGTGGCATATATGAAGGCTGTCTACAGTAGAGAAAGAAACAAGGAGCAAAGAAGGGAAGAGAGAGAAAAAAGAGTGAGGAGCGCAGTACATAATAGCCACCAACCGCCACATACCATTCATGCACTCACTGCCTGCAGCAACCATGTCATTCACAGTGCTGGTGCCACCATCCCACCCACCGTAGTCCCACCTACGCAGAGAGAAGAGAAATGAGAAGTCGTATGCAGCACACTGAACAAATACGGAATGCAGCCTCCCACAGGCATAAAACCACATTTCTTACCACACTCCACGTAGAGATGTTTCACAAGGTATAAAAGGTGAAACACATGTAAAATAAGCAAGACCATACCCATTATTTAGTTATTACCCAGAGTCCAAAATTCCTTTTTTTTCTGCTTTCTCACACAGAAATGAATCTCAGTATAAAGAACTAAAGTGAAAATGAAACTTACGAAAACAGTGCAGCCCCAATTCCCGTGGAACATAAAAAACTCGTTCCATTACTTTCAGCAAATAAAATTAAATAGTCTTTTTTTCCAATGTATTAGAAGAAAAGAAACACACTGCAATAATGCGGCATGCAATATAATTGTTTTGAAAAGAAAAAGATACCATTAATAGAATCATGCTCATCTGCCTGGTATCGCAGAAATATGCAACAAGAGACTGTGTTGTACTATCAAACGGCCCATGGACAGCTTGCCTATCCTCATTGCGGCAGAAACAGCTTCCATTAGGATACTGACTGCTGTATTGGTGTCCCCTGTTGTGCTTGAAGAAGTGTTTCACAGAAGACCCATCAGAGTGAAGGTCATAGCAAGAGGCACAAGAGCAGAGAGAGCAGCAGCCCTGCGTGTGCTGTCGGGTTCAACATTCATGGACAATCTGCTTCTGCCATCCGGTGTGATGGTGCACACCTCATCGTACTTGGGGCACTTGATCT